CACTTTTTGGTAGTTGAGGCGACAACAAACACGACCACGATCATGTTCCGCGACAGCCCGCGCTCATACAAAATCCCCACTGACGGGCAAAATTGTATGAAAATACATGTTCGCGTAATTACTTTCCACCCTGTAAGGTAATCAATAGTTTCCCTGTATATGAATACTGGTTTGCTTCTTCGCAGATGCCGTACAGATACGTTGTGTCTTACGGCGAGCCAGGGAGCGACCCCGTTAACCGGATAGTCCAAGTGGATCAGAAGACGGAAGTTCTGCGTGCCGCTACGGAGGCATTCAAGCTTGAAACGCAGGGCGCTATAGAGGTGTATGATGACGAGTATGGGTTATACATTCAGGAGGATAATCTAGATCTGCTGCCGGACAAAGGCAAACTGAGGCTGGTCATGCGTGCTGAGAATGGTCGACGCTCCACTGGAAGTGTGGCGACAGTTGCACTGGACACCGCCGACACGATCCCAGTCCTGCAGACATCGCTGTCCAGCACAAGTCAGGAGAACGTCTCTACCCTGGTCCTGCTTTCGCCCGGGAACACAGACACTCCGTAAGTCACTTACCTTGCTGGTGGCCCTTGTTGACATGTTACGATATTGTTGAACAATATGGGATTTGCTTTCTAAAACACTACGCTTTCTAGGGCGCTTATTAAAACGTTTTTTTCATTTGATTTCACATTGCTCATGCAATGTGTGCACGCGCTCACTCCCTTCACGGAGTGTTATAGGAACACGACTTATCGGTGTAACTGCCTTTTAGGCTGATTGATTATTTTTGCGAAGGCTTGACTAGACTCGTGCCAGGATAAAAATCCCAGATTCAGGATCCGCAGGTTCCAAGTCCAAAGGCCATAACGGATTTTTTATATGACGGGAGGTAGAAGGAATTATGACATTGTGTGTGCTCTATGGGTAATAAGGCGAAACTGAATATTCATGTTTTTCCATTGCAGGGTGCCAGAGTCGAGGCCCGCGGATGGCGTTGAGAAGGGATCAGTTGCAGGCTACTATGTCGTTCGTGAAGAAAGCATCCCCGCGGATGGGAGGTACGACTCTTTTATCGCGTGAACTTCAGCGCTTGCACTGTAAAATATGACATGACCATCTTCACTGTTTTCGGCTTCTCCCAAGGGCAGGCAGTCGCCTTAGCCGTATATGGGCCAGAATGTCTAACGATTTCGGCCATGTTGTGTATACCAAAGTCTTGAAAAGTGTGAAAAGTTGATCGTTGCAAGCAAACTGCAAGCATGAAGCAGCAGCAGTTTTGAGAAGTGTACCTCTCACTAAACTGCACCTCTGCTACCGTACATGTAATTTACATTTCTGGTATACACGACATGGCGGAAATCGATGGACAAAAACAAGCCACCGATGCTCCTTCTAGTATATATTAAGAGTTCAGTGCCTTCTCCACATAACACTTAAAACATAACATAACACATAGAATTGACATAAAATTAAATTGGCTATCCCACTTCAACATTATATTGAAGTTGAGATAGCCAAATTGTTGCGAAAGGCTTACAATCAGATAAATGGGCCGCCTCAACAACCAGAGTTGTCTACAAGCTCATTACTGCTCATACCTCCCCCCCCCCAAAAAAAAAGCGCGAAAAACTATAACATTCCCTTACATTTCCCTTTAATCACAGCTGAATGCCAGCTGTGTGTCTTTCAGCTTGTGTTCATCTAACTATTCATCCAACCATTGTGTTCCAGCTCCGAGTGCCTGATCCAGACCGGAGAAGCTGCAGATCCGGACGGTGCTCAGCCTGGTCGGACTCTGGGTGACGGTGACTACCGACCGCCTGCTGGGTAATATGTTTATGCGTTATTCGTTATTTTTCAGTGACGTTGTTAACATAATTGTTAAAAGAAATGAAACCTGTTTTCACATATACCGAACAATATCCATATGTGTTATAGCTGTGACACCTAAAAGCCGTGACAGACACTTTTACACTGCTAACGTGGCAGTGTTCTTGGACGCATTCTTGACTAGGTAAAACAAGGAAAATCATGCGCTTCAATTATATTTGACACTTGACCTCACCTTACGACCGACATCCTGAAGTTACTTGACCTAAAATTGACTTGACATGATCAGCTGACCCCACCGCTGATCTGACTTGACCCACCATCCTGTTATTACTTGCCTTATCTTTCTAGTTGATGCTTATTTAGGACGGTTCTCCCATCCTTTTCCTAGGCTGTATTTAAAAACCTTAACATTTGGTGCTTAAATAATGTTTCTTGAAATCCGATTTCAAGTCAGAGTCACGCGTGCAGGAAAGAAGTTTTTTTTTTGTCCCAGTTGATGTTGACATTGAAGTTTTTGACTGTGACCTCGAGTGTTATTGCTGAATGATGTTCTAAACATGCTGTTGCCGCAGCGAGGTACACTGCGTCCTGCAGTTAACATTGTCAAAACCTTTTAATATTTGGAATGTCTCGGTGATGTCTGCCCTCTAAAACGTCTATACGTCTATATTCAAGGGCTGATAGGATTTTAACTCATTTCCTACAGGTAGTTTCAACCTGCTCCTCTGTCCCAGCGACTCCGGGAGAAGATCGTCATGAAAACTCGTCTTGTCATGAAGGACTGGTCCGAGATAACTGACCTTCTATATGCCGAGTACACCAAGGATAAAGGGAGGTGAGATAAGGCTTTCCAACACATGGTATTGTGTAATACAGTGTATTGTGCATTACACATTTTTCCTCCTTGTATACTGCTGATGTATTGGGAGAGCCAGGCATTAAAATAAACACATAAATCATATCACACTTCTCCAGCATACAGCAGGCTTTTGACTAAAGCTGGAGAATAATACGTGTTCTCGTCCAAAGTCACATAAGAGTCAACTATCCAACACTCTGCGAATGTTACCCGGTTCTGCTAAATCCATGCAAAATAACCCGATTTTAGCTCTCCAAAGAGGCATTCGACACCTTTTTTTAAACCCCACATTTGTATTCCCGTGAATTTAAGAAAAGTTGGTTAGTAACTTTCAAAAAGGTACAGTCACTCGATTTTTCGTCTGTCTTAGCAGATAAAGCAATGCCAGAACAAGCTTACGAACACACATATTTGATCGGGATCGGACGATTGGACACTTTTAAAAAGAGATCTTTCGTGCCTCCCGGAAATTCACGGGAGAACAGATGTGGGGTTTAAAAAAGGTGTCATTAGCCGAATGTCGCTTTGCCAAATAGTAGTTCCGTATTGCCGTGTTGCCTCCCGTTGCGCAGTGTATTATTATTTTGCCGTAAAACCGGTCTCAACTCCTTTCCCCGCTTGCTCAGTGATGTTCCATTCTCCTTTGTTAACTGAAAGACTTAGCTGAAAGACCTGAAAGACTGAGCGAGTGGCGAAAGGAGGAGACAAAGGGGAGATGTGGGGTGGGCGGGTGGAAATCGCTTGTGCTTCGCACTCGTAAAGGAAGATGGAAGATGGCTACCCAAGAGGTGGCCAAATTCCTGATGCGATGCGGGGTTTACCCATAACGTTATTTATCCAGATACATATTATTATTATTAATATTTTAATAAATTATGAACTGACTTACGTGCGTCTTAGTACATAAAGCACTTTTGATAAGTGCGATATAGCGACCATCTCTACATCACGTACCTAGTGCCATCTATCGTCCTCCTACGGACCTAAAACTTGCATGGATGTAGATGTCGCTGCTTGTCGTCCAGCCCTCGCGACCGTCTAATGTACCGTGATCGTCGCGAGCTCCGATACGTTACCATTAGCCGAATGTCGCTTTGCCAAATAGTAGTTCCGTATTGCCGTGTTGCCTCCCGTTGCACAGTGTATTATTATTTTGCCGTAAAACCGGTCTCAACTCCTTTCCCCGCTTGCTCAGTGATGTTCCATTCTCCTTTGTTAACTGAAAGACGCCAAACACACCAAAGGACGTATATTCTAAGCTCGTTGGGCGAGATCAGGGCGGGGTGCCCGAAGTATCGAGGCGATGTGGGTGAACGGGGGAGGCGCTGGGGAGGCGCAGTGGAGGGGTGTTCAGTGGGAGCGACGGTCCCGACGATGAGCGGCGTCTATGGCGAGGCAGGCACGCCGGACGTCGAGGCGGGGTCCACGTATGTAGGACGCATAGGTGTGTCCCTGCCACCGGCCGGACGCTTGTATAGTCTGGTCGGGTGTGCCTGTGGCGGCCGCAGCGGTGGCGAACCCGATGCGGAGGCTGTGGGTGGTGAGTTTTCCAGATGCGGAGCAGAGATTGGTTTTCAGCAAGTTGTTGAGCCAAGAAATGGTGGCGTAAGAGCCGGATGCCAGGGTGAAGAGCGGGAGGTCGGCTGGGAGGTGACCCGTGTAGGCCAGGTAGCGGTCCATGGCGCGAACAGGGCAGGCCGATCCTTGGAGTCGGGGTAACGTGACGACATGTCCTTTTCCGGTTTGGTCGGTTTTGGAGGCCGGAATGGTGAGGGTGAGGGCGTCATTATCAGTGGTGACATGACGGCGGAGACACGTGCGGCGGGGAGAGTAGGCGCTTGCGCTGGGAGCTAGGTATTCACTGCCCCGTAGGGCTCCGAAGAACCCCATTGTCACAGCTGCCCACGCGGCCAGGCGGTCTTGAGTGGGGAGGGCGCCGCGTCGGAGTCTGCGACGGAGTGAAGTGAGAAGAGAAAGAGACATCGGGAGCCGTTTCTTGGTTGGCAGACGGGGCTTCTTGGCTACTGCTCGGAGGGCCAGGCGGACGCGTGCTGACAGCCCCAACCATGGCAGGTTATTGGCCACGTGCCAGTGTCGTATGCCAGCGAGGTGGGCCGTCACTGTGGCTTTGGACGCGCCGCGCAGGCAGAGGTGTGTCACATAGCGCAGAGTGGTGCTCTCCTCGGCAGGAAATGGGTGAATCGCATGCGCCTGACAGAACTGGCGAAACTTCGCGATGGCGCGACGGTAGATTTTCCTGGTAGCCGGCGCTAATCCAGCCCGAATCAGCCGTCGAGCCGCCGCGTCTAGATCCGCCAGGCGGAGGCCGCGGTACACTCTGTCGCCGGCGCTGCCAGGAAGGCCGTGAGCGGCCTCGGGAGCGGCGTGGCGGACGTCTCCGCCGCCGGATGGAGGCGGTGGAACCTCGCGACCTGTAACCGGGAGAGGGCATCAGCCGCGGCGTTCTCCGACCCATTGATGTGCGTGATGCGCAGGGCGAAAGAGTGTCGCGCAGCGGCGAACAGTGCCTGTCGTATGAGGGACATGAGACGCGGGTCTTTAGACCATCCCTTCTCCCACGCGCCGACGACACCGGAGTTGTCACAGTGCATGGAGATGCGGAGACCGGACCAATGGGAACCCCAGAGCAGGCAGGCCGCGAGAATGGGGATCATCTCGAGCCAGGAGATGGAGTCTGCCCACTCTGCGGTGGCTTCCGGCCAGGGCGCGGAGAACCATGCCGCCCCGCAGAACCCTCCGAAGCCCACGGTGGAGGCGTCAGTGTACAGGTGCAGGTCGGCCGCGGGTGTCCAGGTGGGATGGATGAGGGGGGCGGTGCCGTTCCAGTCCGGGAGCATTTCGAGCCACCAGTCCAGATCGAGTCTGGTGTCTCGCCTGATCGTCACCCAGTGATGTGGGCGGTGGACAGAGTGAGCGGTGTCTAATAACCTACGAAAGAAACTGCGTCCGGCTGGAATACATTTTGTTGCGTGCACCAGTTTTCCCACTAGACTCAGCAGGCGCCTCTGACGGACAGTGCGGGAGGCTCGGATCTCTCGGAGGAGCGTGATCAGCGCCTGCAGTTTTGCTTGCGGCAGGGAGATGGTCATGTTGGCTGTGTCGAGGACGCAGCCGAGGAGTTCCATCTTTGTTGACGGAGCGCAGCACTTCTGTTCGGACAGAGGGACTTTGCACTGTTCGCAGATGGTCAGGAAGACGTCGTAGGCTCGCTCGCAGTCAGCTGAGTCGGCTGGGCCGATAAAGAAAAAATCATCGAGATAGTGGTGAATGTGCGGGTGAGCGGCGTGGAAGCGTGCTGTGATAGCTAGGATATCAGCCAAGTCGTTGAAAATTGCGCAGGCTGACCGTAAGCCGAAAGGGAGGCGGACGTCATAGAAGAATGTTGAATTCCATTGAAACCCAAGCAGCCAGCGCTGAGATGGGAGGACCGGGATCAGGCGGAAGGCGTGTTTGAGGTCGGCTTTTGCGAGCAGGGCACCGCGGGGCCCTTGTGCGTAGATGTGCTGGATGGCTTCATCCATCGATGTGTACTGCACGGTGAAGGCATCTTTGTCGATGTGGGCGTTGACACTCAGGCCCTCCGGCTGGGATAAGTCGAGAATCAAACGCACGGTGCCATCAGGTTTCACTCGGGCTCCGAGAGGGTTGCAACGGAAAGGAGTCATAGGTGGCGTTGGGAAGGGGCCCATGGTGTGTCCCCTGGCGAGTTCTGCTTCTAGGGCGGCGGTTACGGCAGTGGGGTTGGCGCGGGCCGATGCGTTATTGGGGCGGGAAGTGGAGACGGGGGGACCGGTGTAGCCGATGTCGGCGCCATGCTCAAGGCGGTCGAGCACCGGGTGCAACAAAATGGAGGGAACAGCCGGGGTGGCGAGTTGCCGCAGCGCGGAGACATCGATGGGTGTGGTGGGGGGTGGGGGAGACGAGTCAATTGGGCCGACGGCGGCGATGTCGGAGCTTACCGCGTCTGGGTTTAGTGCCAGCGAGACTTCTGCTGTCTCGGCCCGGTCAGCGCGGGCCGATGGGGGATGGACCCTGGCTGGCCCGGGGCCGCCATCAGGCACTGTCGGGCTGGGTGCGGGCCGCGGCAGATGGTGCAGGCGTGCTGGCGCTTGCACGTGCCCCCGCTGTAGCAGCCGGCTCCGTTGTAGCGGAGGCACAGTTCGTTTGGGGCGCCCCCTGGGCGCTGTGCGGCGGGTCCGGCGTAACGGCTGCTGGCGGCGGCCGTTAGGGCGGCGGGTGGCGGGAGGCCGCCGGCCAATCCCGTGCTCTCCGTTAAGGACGCAGCGTCATGGTAGTCGTCCCCGTATGTGGCCATGTGTGTGCGGGCTCGCTCATCTAGGTCGCGCAGCGCGCTTGTGGGCAGGCTCTCACCCCGGCTCTGGATCCAGAGTAGGTATGTTGCCCATTGCACCGCCGCGGCTGGAAAGAAGTACGTTCTATATGCGGCGATGGTGGTGACACCCCGCATGTAGGCCGCCGGGCTCAGCGGCGGGTATCGCGTCGGCGCAGCTCCCCGCGGTCCGTCCGATGGCGCGTGCGGGAACACCACCGCCTCTACTGAGGCCACCTTGCTGCGGTCGGCCAGTGTCTTGAGGGCTGTGGCGCTGACCGTCGGCAGCTTTAGGCCTCTAGGCGGTGGGGGCTGCTGAGACCGCCGGGGCACGATACTCATGTCCAGGAAGTCCGTGATGGGCTGTCGACCTTGAGTCTTGGAGCGCTTCCGTGACCTCGACACCCGACCGTGGTCGGACGAAGAGTCGGACGGCGTGTCAGACTCGGTCCAGTCGGAGTCCGACGTTCGCAGGGACGGTGAGCGGCGTCGTCGGTATCTTGAAGCCTCTCTGGTGGAGCAGTGGCGCCGCTTCGCTGAGCGTTTTTCCGACCTGTGTCGGTGTTCGCGGCTGGAACCGCGGTACGACTCCGCCCCGTGCCGGGCGGCGGTGCCCTCCGGGCTGGCCGATCGGCGGGCTGTGCGATCGGCGGTCCTGGCCGGTCCTTGGCGGCGGGTGTGGCTGGTTGCTCGTGACGGCGTCACCGAGCGTCGAGGAGGCGTTGCCTCCGGGCTGTCCGAGCTGATATCCGTAGCGACGTCTTGTGCTGGTGTGCCGAGACTGGCTGGTCCGGGGTCGGCGGGAGGGCGCGGTGCCAGCGCTGCCTGCGGTGCAGCGGACGAAGAGACTGGCCGTGTCTGTTGCCGGCCTGTAAGTAGTGATGGGGGTGGCGAGGTCAGCCGGCGGGCTGCAGTGAGAGGTGTAGGGGACATGGGCGACCGAGCTCGGTCAGCAAGGCTGGGGCAGCGAGATCGTCCAGCTGTTAAAGCGACGAGGTGAGCTAGCAGGCCGAGTTCGATCAGCGTGCTGGGGCGATGGGTCAGCAAACGGTCTGGGGCACTAAGGTCAGCCAGCGGGCCGGGGCAACGGCCCATCGAGATGGCCGTGTTCAGGGTGTTGAGTGGAATGAGCGATGGGGGGGGGTGAAGAAATAACTGTGAACATGAGTCGGTAAATCTGTTATGAGGGCTGCTGTTACCATTGCGGAGCAGTGTCAGAAATGGCCTGCTTCACCGTGTTTTGGAAACGTAGAAACTTTGTTCTGTGGACCTTTCCACTATTAAAATGACAAATGTTAGTTAGCTGCTGCTTATTATCACAGCGAATGCTGCTGAAAACGCACACAGGACACAACAACCAACTACCTGGTGATGCCTGGTATGTGATTGAACATTCCTGTGTCACCAAACCTTCGAAATTCTTCTTTTTATTTTCTTCAAAATTCCCAAAATTTGTTCTGTCAGTCAGAAGAACTTTGTGCTGTGAACATAGGTCGCTAAACCACTGTTCTCACGCTGTTGCGGAGTGCTTACAACTGAAACGTGTTAGAATCAATTTCTCGATATTAGCACAAAGTAACTAACACAGATGTTTAGCTGCTTGTTCGGCGCATTAAAGCAAACCATATTACCTGAAAACGTATGAAACCAAACCATATGCAAACTAGAGAAAAGAGGGAAGTTTAGTCATCATCTGTTGATCTGTTTTATTGGATTCATTTATTCGTTTATTTATTTATTTAAGATTCTTTCCAAAGCGTTGAAAGGAGGTTAGGTAAGACACCTACTCAGTACTGAGTGAACATGTTGGCTATCTTGCTCGGGCTCATCAAGCAATGTTGATATGCAAATTGATGGTATTGTGTACCTAGATCTCATAACTATTTGCGATTGCAGTAGTATGCTCTTGGATTTAAGGGTCTTCGGTTTGTCTGAATGTAAGCCGGCTTTTAATAATTGCCAGCGGGCTGAGGGACACAAGGTGTACTGGCCAGCGGACCAGGCAGTCGGGGCAGCCAGCGGGCTGAGGGCATGAGATTGGCCAGCGGGCTGGGCAGCAAGGGCAGCCATCTGTCTGAGGGCAAGAGGTCTGGCCAGCGGCCCTACAACAAGGGCAGCCATCTGGCTGAGGGCATGAGTTCTGGCCAGCGGGCCTACAACGAGGGCAGCCAGCGGGCTGAGGGCGTGAGGTCTGGCCAGCGGGCCTACAACAAGGGCAGCCAGCGGGCTGAGGGCATGAGTTCGGCCAGCGGGCCTACAACAAGGGCAGCCAGCGGGCTGAGGCAAGAGGTCTGGCCAGCGGGCCTACAACAAGGGCAGCCAGCGGGCTGAGGCAAGAGGTCTGGCCAGCGGGCCTACAACAAGGGCAGCCAGCGGGCTGAGGCAAGAGGTCTGGCCAGCGGGCCTACAACAAGGGCAGCCAGCGGGCTGAGGCATGAGGTCTGGCCAGCGGGCCAGGCAGCAAGGGCATCTGTAGCGGGCAGAGGGCATGAGGTTAGCGGGCCGGGCAACCACCTTGTGTAAGGGTCGGTAGGCGTTGGTAGTTTGTAAGGGAGAGGCGTATTAAAAGATACAACTGTCATTGGTGCCAGTGCAGGGCTGGCTAATCAAGGGCGAGGGGGTGGTCAGCGTGTGAGAAGTAGGCGGACCATAAATAAAACTTATCTGCTGGGAATCGAACCCGGGACCTCCTGCGTGGCAGGCGAGCATTCTACCACTAAACCACCGATGCCTTACTGTCCCAGATAAACCTGTGATAAAGTATATCAACACAAACAACCCCATGAGAAAAACCCAGGTGGCAAACACAGACATTGTTGCATAGAGGCGAGATGTTAGCCATGTAAAGGCAGGAGCCATGTAAGTGAGAGCTGTGGTTGCGACGCAGGAAGAGGGGCTAGTAAGAGCAAATAGACCCCCGAGTGGGGCCCCGTGTACGATCGCACTGGACGTGCGGCGAAAATGGCGCGCCTTCACAGATGCCATACCGTTAGTTGTCCTCGAATAATTACAAAAGGGTAAAATACCTGGTTGTTTCCGGCGACGCACCATCCTGCAGCGGCAGGTGAGGCAGTTGTAGTGATCAAGGCGTGAAAATACACGTTTGCAAATCGCTAAATCGCTTGTGCTTCGCACTCGTAAAGGAAGATGGAAGATGGCTACCCAAGAGGTGGCCAAATTCCTGATGCGATGCGGGGTTTACCCATAACGTTATTTATCCAGATACATATTATTATTATTAATATTTTAATAAATTATGAACTGACTTACGTGCGTCTTAGTACATAAAGCACTTTTGATAAGTGCGATATAGCGACCATCTCTACATCACGTACCTAGTGCCATCTATCGTCCTCCTACGGACCTAAAACTTGCATGGATGTAGATGTCGCTGCTTGTCGTCCAGCCCTCGCGACCGTCTAATGTACCGTGATCGTCGCGAGCTCCGATACGTTACCAATGTATGTGCGAAATGGCATGCTTAGGGGAGAGTGGGGCAAAGCGGCCACCCGGGGCAAAGCGGCCACCCATCGTTTTAGCCCTTCATAGCTGGCGTCAGTTCCAATTTATGGTCTCCAATTATACTTCTCTTCACGGTCGTTCGAATGAGCCAGACCGAGGTTTCAGTCCCATCATCATTGTTCTGTGAAACACGGAAAAGCATTTCTTGCCAGGTTACCAACTATGTTTACAATTTTTAAATGTTATGTTATTCCATAACCGTTTGGAATTTTTATAAGCGTTCTTGTCCGTGCATTGCATGGTTATCGTACATGTATTCTACCAATTTTAATGTTTTTTACCCCACTAATAGCTAAGCTGGAATATTTTTGTCTCGGGCGGTATGCGCGGGGCAAAGTGGCCGGGGCAAAGTGGCCACCCCCCAATTGGCCATAAGTTGCTTCCATCTGGATAAAAAACATTATTTATATTCAAATGTGTCGTCATGCATAATTCGTCTTGGCCACTTTTCAGTTGCATGAGTTACCAAATAATGCAATTAAATGTTTATTTTCATGAAAATCCTTTCTTTGTTTACCTACAGGTGGAAGATGATAAAGTAAACATCCATCCTCGCTTAACCTTGTCACCATCAAATACCCTTGTCGTACACGAGGCAACTATTTTGTTTCTCATATCGGGACTTGAGAAGACGCCGGTGGCCGCTTTGCCCCAGGGTATGGGGCAAAGTGGCCAATATGCATAGGTTTAAAGTTTTGTCAATATCTTTCATATGTGAACGCCTTTGGAAATAAAACGCAGTTGAAATAAAAGGCAACTTAATAGGGATCACATTGGTATAGAAAGAATCTTTCCAAGTTTAAAAATCAAGCGTTGGCATCGTGAGAAGCGTTAAGGTGGCCGCTTTGCCCCACTCTCCCCTACATTAATAATACCGTGATATCGAATCCAACCTTTTACTCGCGATTTGTTTTGTTTTAGTTAATGCACAAAACACATAATTGTGTTTTATGTGTATAAACTACGAATGTCAGATTCCGTAGAATTCGGAGGAATGGGTGGGCTCGAAATTCGGCTTGTGTTTGGCCACCTTGTATATCTGACCTTTTCCGACCATCGCACGATCAGTGCCGATCCTGATGCCAGGGAAAGGAGCAAGATGGCTTCCTCTATCCTGACACTGTATCCTCATCTGGGAGCACCTCTGGACCTGGACGACGCCATGGTATGTTCTAAAGTCATTTTCGTTTCATTTTCATTTTATTTAACCATTTCATTTTCATACATTTTCGTTTATTTAACTAGGTACTATTATAAGTGAACTTGAGACGGATTCGTCCGAATCGTCTGAAGTGACATACTCACCGCGAAATTGTGTATGACCTCAATGAGCGGATATGTGTTTGTTGAGTTGAAAATGAAAATGACGTTTTTATTAATACCTTTGTCTAAGAACGAATAGCAGGATATAGCTAAGAAAAGCTACAACTTTGTATGCTCTGGAAAAACAGAGGACGTATTTCTGGCTTACCTAGCTTGTTGGACAGTGACTGAAATCAAATAAGGTGTCCCTTTTATTTAAACTCAATGCACATCTGAACCGTCGCCATGATACCGTGAATTTGAACACCCCCTGTTTTATTGCGAATAATGCAAGAACGGCGGCATAGGGCGCCGCCGTTGTTCGTCGTGGGGGTCCCATAACGGCGTTTTTTGCGACATAACTGTTGAGGGCGGGAAACTGTACTGTAAAAAAAACTGTAACTGTAAACTGTACTTCGAAACTGTACTTCGACCAGCACGATGCGGGAAGGTCAGATCAAGGTCAAGTTAGGTCATCGGAAATAGCCTCGATAGATGTGTTGAACATGCTCCAGTCAGTACCTACTAACTGATGCTGTAACGCCACCGCCCAGTTCACGACACAAAGCCCAGTTCCAAGCCAAAGTCCAAGTCCAAGTTCAAGTCCAAGTTCCCAGCTCCCGTCTCAATGCCCCCCGTATCCAGAATAACCTTCAGACGACCTTCAGGTACAGAAGGTTCCCGAAGGGAAACCCGACCCCCACCAAACACGATTTGGCAGCACTGTAAGGACGCCTGCTGGGCGTGAAGTTTTCCCTTCACCATAGGGTTTACACACAAACTGGTCAAAGTTTGAGCCAGGATATACTAGTCTAAAAATACAAAAAACGAACAAATTTTGGCCTCAAAAGATTCAGCATTTCATCGTGTGCCTCAAACCGTCCATCATTTGGCCTCAAAGGAGGTAAAAATTGTTCAAAATCGAAGTTGAAAAGATGCTTTCTGAGCACATAATCTGGTAGCAATCACGTGACCTGCTATAAGCAGCTTATCGATAATTTACCAACATAATTATTAATATGCTGCTTTAAACAACATTAATCATGCATTTTGAGCTTTCAGTACTTTAAATAAGGTCAAAACATCGCAAAACACAAAAGTTAATACAATAGTCACGTGGGTGTCAGGAAATGTCACAGGTGCGTCAAATTTGTGACTGGGGCTTTACTTTCAAACATCGGATCTACCTGTTTCTTATAGGTATCTTGGGGAAACCAATCGGCGGCTGCCCTGGCGTCGCAGCGCCAGCCAATCAGCAGCCGCCATCACACTGCACACCAGCCGTCGAGCCGTCGCCGCCAAGCTCGGCATATAGCCTACGGCGCGTGACCTGCGGCCGCGGGCGCTTGCGGCGGCGGAGTCCCACTTCCGACACAGTCTCTGAGCGGAAGTCCATTGTCAGCATATAGCCGCCCGAGCAATAGGCGGGGGCACGGGAGGAGCCGCCCTCCTACACTCCTCCCCGCTTACAAAGAGGCGCCAGCCGTCTGAGGCGCACCGGCTCCAGCGCACGTCCCCTGGGAACCAGAATAAAACAAACGCGTCACTAAGAGTGACGCCACAACGCGATATGTACAGTAGGTCTACTAAAAAAGTCCCCCGCTCCAGAGGCGGCCGGCCGGCCGAACCCCCGGATTCCAGCCCCGACTCTACTGCGCAGGTTACGCGACACGGGTCAGGTCGCGGCGCCCGGCGAGTGGGTCAGTTCGCGGCGGCCGGCCGTGGAGTGAGGACGCCGTGTGTGGGGCGCAGAGATGCCGCAGTGCAGAGGAGGGAAAGATAGTGACTCTGCACGATGCCGGAAATGATGCCTTTGTGATCTAAATTAAGCACATGCAGACGCAGTGCATATCCTCCCTTGCCCCATTCCTATTTTATCATAATCCTTCAATAATCAATCCGTAATGACCATCCAACGCAAGCAAGCAAACAAAACAACCCGTTTAGCGGCGACATCAACTCGGATAAAAAGCGACAGTGATGATTGGAATAGACTTTAGCGCGAGGGCAAATCGAGTGGTATATATGTATCACATACCGAGCATTTTATTCCCATCTAGCAAATCAATATTGGAGATCTTGTCCAACAAGTCAGCGGCCGTTCTAGACACAGATGAATACTTTGTTTGCGGTCGCATCATTATCTGCAATAATTCAAAGCGAGGTTTAACCCTCGCCGGCCGAGAAGAAGGGGTGGATACCTCCACCATGTATTTTTTTTTTTGCGGTAGCTCAAAGCACACTGATGATAGAAGGCTGACATTTCATATGCCTTACATTTGATTCAAGCCGGATCATTTGACATCAACCACGTTTTCAGGTCAGGTCACTTAGCTATGACGTCTTAACCCGCGCCGGGCCGGGGGGTGTTTGAACACCCCCCCCCCCCTGCGGTTTCCGCGCCGCCGTTTTTGGCACACCTGTTCGTGCATCTTTTCCACACATGTGCAAATTTCAGACCCAGGTCGCCTTAGGTCAGGTCACCAGGTCACGCCAAGTGACCTCACCTCAGAAAAAATAAGAATGCTCGTCGTAGCTACACCGACTGAACGATTGCCTTGAAACTCTCAGCGATTGATGAGAGCAACATTATCTATAAAAGGTATGTCTCGGAATTTTGATATCGGTGACCTAGGGCCAGGTCAATTTTGACCTTTCAATGTCAAATTATAGTTCATTCGACGCGTCTCGACGATAGGAACACGATGCTGGCAAAAGTAGTGCCATGGCTCTTTTGAGTCAAAAGTTATTGCCGACAGTCGGGCTCTGGCCTCCGAGCCGGTCGGTCGGGTCGCCGCGCCCCGGGCGAGGTCAGCGGTTGGCGGCCGGGCAGCGCTCGGATGGCTCAGTGAGTGCGGCCCAGTGAGCGCCCGGGCGGCGTGAACGCGCTCAGAACAGTGCAGTGCGAGCGAGTGACGCTAAAAGTTAATACGCCGAGTGCGTGAAAGCGCGAAACAGACGAGCGAGTGAATTATGGTGATAACAGACACTGAAAGTGGCGGTGAGGACGCGGTCTTCACCGACGCGACCTCTCAGTCTGAGACGAGTGCCGGCACCGCCGGCCGGAGAAAACGCCAGTTCTCCGTGCCGGAGATGGTTGCCCGAGCTGAAGGTAGGAAGTCAAAGCGTCCGGCGGTAAGCAGACAGTCCAAATCACCGAGAGAGACTGCACCTTCCGCTAAAGCGGCAGAAGCTGCCGACACCTTGGCTTCCGTGGAGCTCAGCGACGCGGCCATGTCTCGGTTCCAACGCATGCTCGACGGAGGTATCGCGACCGTCATCGCGGCTTTCGAGGCCAAGTTTGAGAGCATGCAGCGGAAGATCGAAGTCCTGGAAGGAGAGGTTATGGATAAGGACGTCGAGATCCGCAGTCTGCAGGAGCAGCTGGAACGCCAAGGGCAGGCCCTGGATGAGCTGCAAGAACGGACGGAGGGAATCGACCTCAACCGTCGTCTCTCCATGCTGATCCTGGCGTGCGACGACTTCATCTCCAGAACCACCGACGAAGACGTTGAAGAGAAGGTCACCCAAGTCTTGAACCAGAGGTTCCCGTGGCTGAAAATGACGACGGCGGACATCCAGGCGGCTCACAGACTACAGGC